ATTATTCAAATTTAGTAAAAAGTCTTTTAAAAAGTGTACACAGCAGAAGTTGGGAATTATAAAATACATATTTCAAATCAGCTTTAGCCTCATTAAAGTTAAGAACCAATTTAGTTCATAAAGTATTGACTTTTTTTTTAAATTCCACTTAATAATTAAGGGCCTACTGTATATCCCTTGAGCAGGGACTCTAGAATTGGTCAACTTACTTTTTAAACTATTTTGATAACTTTTATAATTGGTTTCCTTTGCAAACCAATGTATTTTATTAATTTAAAAACATGACTCTGAGAAAGTGTCCATCATCTTCACCAGACTGCCAAAGTATCCCTTGACCCCAAGCCCCAAAACAAGAACCCCTGCCCAACAACATTATGGCAGGTAATGATGTAAGATAAAAGGACAAGTTCTTTACTGTCATGTAATTTATAGTCTAGTATGCAGATAAAAAACACACAGATACTACTATAATACAAGTTCATTAGAGAAATACAACAATAATAGCCTAAGTATGATTTATAAGGCACTTAACATATATTATTTCATATGTTTCCAACAACACTGAGGCAGGTATTACAAGTATTTTCTCTACCCTAATGATCAGGAATCCAAGGTTCAAAGAAATCTAGTGATTTGTCTGGGGTCATAGTTCTTAAATGCCAGAGGTGGATTCAAATCAAGATTTCTCCTAACTCCAAGTTTATCTTTGTTCAAAACAAAGTGCTATCTTATTAAGTTCAAAAAAGGGATGGTCTTATGGAGTAAAACCAACAGCATTAGGCTACCTCATATATAAAATGAAGTGTTCCAATTAGTTGACCTCTAAGGGCCCCCTCAAATTCTAAGTCTATGATCTCTAAAGTCTTTTGACTATAACTATAGAATGTTTTAAATACCATCTTAATATACAGAATTCCTACACATCCAATATTGAGGATGCTTAATGAACAATAGCCCTTGTTACTCATGTTTACCCTACGGATGTTGAGAATATTTTTTATATTGTACACTTCTCAAGCATTATTACTAATTTTAGGAATTAACACTAAAATGTTAACTACCAACAAACCCAGAGATTCCTAGCCTTTCTAGAGTTGTGACAATTAATGATTCTTTCTTTGGTTCAAGATATACTTATGCCTCCCCTAAAAATAATTACTTGTATTGATTTTTAAACTAAGGCAAATCCTAATTTCATTTCAGAATCTGCCACATCTTGGTATGAATACAGAGGGAAGAGATGGGTTGGAATTTAACAGTCCAAGGAGGCTTAAGCACATTCCATGCCCAGAAAATAGCTATTTGTGCTGTGTGTCGAACAGAATTAAGCAGATTGACAATGGTGAGCAAACTTTGAAAACTAGTGTGCTAAAATTCAAGTGCTTTCCTATACAGACTAACAGTAACTAGTCACTGCCACCTACTACTGTCGCTGCCCAAGAGCCACAGGATTTCCTATGCCTGCTGTAGTAGCTTAAAAATCTAAGACGTATAAACAAAAGGTAGACAATTAACAAATACGAGTTCATCTTTCATCCAAATCTTCCCACCCTCCAAATTTCCCTATTACTGTTAAAGTCACCACCATCCTCCAGTCTCAAAACCTAAGTTGTTATCCTCAACTCCCTACTACCTCTCATCCTTCCAATATCAAGTCTCTTTTGCAAAGGCCCATCGATTTTACCTTTATCCCTAGAAGTGCCTCCTCCTTTCCTCTAATACTGCTGCCAGTCTGGTGCAAGCCTTCATCATCTCATACTTAAGACCTCTGCAAAAGCCTGCTGGTGGGCCTGCTTGTCTCAAGTCTCTACAACCCATCCTCAACTGACAAAGCAATTTTCCTACAAAATGAGTTTCTCTAAAACACAGATTCAACCATGTCACCCCATTATCAACTGCAATATACTCCAATGGTTCCCCATTATGGCAAGGATCAAATACAAAATCCTGTTTGCCCTTCATTCCCTATTCCAATCTCCCACTTTCCAATCTTTTTATTTATAATTTGCTTCTCATCACATATGCTTTTGATCCAGGGATGGTGGGTGACTTGTTCTTCAGACAAAATACACCATCTCTTGGCTCCAAGCATTTTCTCTAGCTGCATACCATGCCTGGAATGCTCTACCTTCTCATCTCCACCTACTGCCTACCTGACTTCCTTTAAGTCCCAACTAAAATCTCATCTTCTACAGGAAACCTTTCCCAATTCCTCTTAATTCTAGTGCCTTTTCCTCTTCAATCATCTCCTATTTATCCGGTTTATCATTTGTTGTATATTTGTTTTACCTGTTGTCTCCTCTATTCAATTGTAAGCTCCTTGAAAACAGAGACACCTTTTACTTTTCTTTGTATTCCCAGTGCTTATTAGCACAGTGCCTGGCACACAGTAGGCACTTAATATATGTTTATTGATTGACTATAGGCAAAATACATTTAAAAAAATCCTCCATCCTTTCAACATCGAATATATTTTAAAATGAATCTTTTTCAGAACTAGGCAGCAAGAATGAGGTAAATATAATCACAACATAAGAAACATTAAAAAAAACTGATTCCAAACTGTTTTTCAGTGTGCAACACTGTCCAACACGGTGAATTTGAAGTCCAGGAGACTGGACTCGTACCTTGACACAGGGCTTCAACTTTATCTACAAAATGAGATGTTCCAACAGCTAAGTGTCCATTCAGACTCTAAGTCTATGACCCCTAAAAATCTTTTAAGTCACAACCATAGAACACTTAATACACTCAATTCCTACACATCCAATATTGAGGATGCTTAATGAATAACAGCCCTCTTGTTACTCATGCTTACTCTAAGGTAGTCCAGAATATTTTGCATTGTATATTTCTCAAATATTATTACTAATTTTTTGAATTATGTCTAAAATGTTAACTACCAACAAACAGCAATTCTTGGCCTTTCTAGAGGTGCAACAACCAACAATTCTTTTTTTTGGTTCAAGACACATTTAACTCCCCTTAAAACGGGTTATTTGTATTGATCTTTTTAAAACTATCTTGGTATGAATACAGAATTGGGAATCACTATAGGGGAAGAAAGAGATTATATGTTTTGTGTACAGTATATAGCATACTGAAGCTAGAAGGTTGTCATCCTATGCTGGCTAAATACCCTAACAATACTTAAGTTTTACAGCCAGATAGCATCCAGTATCCATAATTCAACCCACTCATTTTATAGATGATGAAACTGAAGTTAGATGACTTGGCAAAGGTCACAACGTTATCATTTAACATAGCACAATACCCAGATTTCCTGACTCTTGGTCAAAAGTTCTTGCCAGTCCCACAAGTGACAAAAGAATCCTACGTTCTTAGAATAGGATGGAGTCAGAATTGATGAAATTGATGAAAGGTCTAGGACCTAAAACAAAAAAAAAACACACCATAATACTCAAAGTAATTCTTGGTTTAAACAAAAAAGACAAAACAAAAACAAAAACAAACACCTATAAAAGGTGGTAGACTAAATAGAAGTAACATTCATTTAGTTTATACTGTATGCAGTAATTGTACTTCGTTAAAATTTTAAGAACTAAATTAGCTTTCCTCATCACATACAGTAGGGCTGCTAGATGGTGAACGGGATAGAGTGCTGGGCCTCCAGTCAGGAAGACCTGAGTTGAAATGCTGCCTCAGACACTTACTGTGTTTACCCTAGGCAAGTCACTTAACTGTTTCAGTTTCCTTAGCTGTAAAATGAGTTAGAGAAGGAAATGGCAAACCACTCTAGTATCTTTGCCAAGAAAAACCCAAATGGGGTCATGAAGAGTCAGGCAGACTGAATAACAAATCACATACAGTATACACACATGCACTGATTCTCCAACTGACAGCACAATGAAATGACAAATGTTTCAATATCTGTTTTATAGGAGTGGAGGAAAGTGTCCTTGCTCCCGGCCATATTTTTATTTTAACTGTGCTTCTCCAGACTTTCTGAAATTTCTCCACCAGTTTCTGATCACAGTTGTCAAACGACTATTACTTCCCGACCCTTGACCCATGCGTGTGCCTGTCTTCCCCAAACCCAACGAGGTTTCCCTCTTAGATGGGAGCACATGAGGTAGAGTGGAGAATGTGGGTCCCTGTCCGCCTCCCCGATCTCTCCCGGGAAGGGAAGGATGCAGGCAGGCGGGCAGGCCGGCCGGCCGCCGGGAGGGCGGATACAGCTGCGCCACACCGCAGCCATGTGCCGCCGCCGCTTCCAAGCCCCGACGAAAGGACGGAGGGAAAGAGGTTATATAATAAGAACTCACCCTCCCGGAGAGGGCCGCGCAGGGGGTGGGGGTGGGAGGCGGCCGCCGCCTCGGCCTGCCTGCCTGGCGCGGGGCTGGGGAGGTAGGCTCCGGCATGCTCCCCTATCCCCCAGGAGAGGCCTTCCCTACCCCCAAAGGGTAGCGGCGGCGGTGCGCAGGGGGCGATTGGCGAGCCAGGGAGGAGGGGAGGCCCGGCGGCCGCTACCTGCCTCGGCATAAACCCGGCCTAGGGCGAGGGAGCGGGGGACGAGGTGGGCAGCGACAAGGGGGGCTCAGGCCGCGCCAATTGCGACCGGCTTCTGCCGCCCGCCCGACCCCCCCCGCCTCCTTCACCTACCTGCCCTGCCCGTCCTCCCCTTTCCCCAGTACCTGAGAAAGGCGGGTGACCCAGCCGGTGGCTTGCCGAGCCCAGTGTGGCGCGAGGCCGGGGCGCAAGCGGCTCCCGCGCGACTCCGTCACGTCACAGCATCGCCCTGGAGACCCCTCCCCCCTGCGGCTCGCGAGTCGTAGGAGCGGCTCCCTCCCCTCCCCCCCACTCCAGCCCAGACCCGCGATCCTCCCACTCCACCCCTCCCCACTCCATCTCACCTCACTTAGCCCCCAACCTCCAAGCCGGACAACGGCTCAGCGGTTCAACCCCGCCGCGGTTCCGGGGATCCCCTTCCCCGCCTCCTTCCCACTCTAAAGTTATGTCGATCGTGCTTTGCGCATTACCCAGTGCCGCCACAACTGCCGCCGCCGCCGCCGGGCTAAGTCTCTCACACCGGGAAAGGGAGGAGAGGCGGTGGGGAAGGGGGGGGGAATGGGAGCTGCGGAGTGGAAAGACCCGGAGATCTCGGCTGCCAAGAGCCGGGAATCTCGCGAGAGCTCAAGCCTCCCGATCTCCTGCCGCGGGAATTTTGAAACTCTCGGGTTTAGTGAAAGGATCCCGAAAAGCGGGAGGAGGGGCAGGGTGAGACCCCCTGGGAGTTGGGGGTGGGGGTAGGGGTAGGGGTGGAGTTAAGACTCCTTCATTGGCGTAAGCTAGCGTCCTCCCGTTCTGATCCGAATAGAAGAGAAAAAGACTACGATTCCCAGCAAGATTTGCGTGCTTAGCCATAGTGCTGCCCGACTGCCCCGGTCCCCTGCGAGGAGAGGGGTGAATCGGGAATGGTAGTTTTTTGCTTAAACCCGACTTCTTTTGCGGAAGTATAAGACCAAGCCCAGGACTTCCTCTGGTTGCCAGGAGAAACACCCCCGATGTCAGGCCTTTCCTGCAGTTGTCTCAAGCCCCTAGGACTAGTAGAACCTGATAAATCATTGTCTTCCCTTCTAAAATCTTTGCTGACCTTAAGTGTGTTTTACTGGTAGTTGATTTGGCCAGCCTTTTTCCTTCCGGGCTTCTCCAACTCCTCCAATCTAGGATACAGACCACAGCAGTTTATAAAAGATGCGTGCGGTATCCAGCCCTAGCACCTCGGCCCCCTATTCGCCCCAAGACTAGTAGTGTTTTAAGAATAGCCCAGTACTCCTTTTCTACTTCCCCTTTGCCAGTACACAGTTGTATGCTTAATTTTGCTTGATTTTTTTTTAAGTATCCAAATTATCACAGTTTGCAAACCTAGTAGAATGTTACCTATTCGAGGGCAAGAAGTGTTTCCTTTTTTTGCCTTTTTGGAGCCTCAGCACATCAGAAGCAGGTTGGTGTAATGAGTAAAATAAATAAATAAAGGCTGGCCTTGGAGTTGGAAATCAGGGCTTCAAGCTCTGTCTCATGAGATACTAGCTGGGCAGCCATGAGTAATGCAACAAGCATTTATTAAGCGCTTACTCTGTGCCTCGAAAAAAGCAATTAAATAAGCAAGCTACTTAACCTCCCAGTGCTTCCAGACACCTGACTAAGACTAACAAGTTGCCAGTTTCTTATTAGCATCTAAGAAAATGGCCATCTCACACTGGGAGCTTCATACACCTATGAAGTGATAGGTCTGATGGAAAGCAGGAGTCCAGACCAAAAAGGCCAGCCTCACGAAGTGCTTCTGCATGTAGGAGATGCTTAAATAAATTCTTGTCTAATTGAAAAGAAACTCTTCAAGAAATAGGTTGTGAACTGAGTTGGAAGTAATATTCAAGTTCACTTCTATATCAAATGTTTTTGAGGCTCATATGACTACCCTAAATCTTATGTTCTGTTGTACTTTTAAAACTGTTAACCTATTTTCAAAGTCACATCCCCTTTTTCTGTCATCTTCTTTTCTTTACTTTTTTTCTTTTTGGTCAAGCTCATCATCACCATCACTCAGAAGTATTTATCCCATAGTTGTGGCACTGAAATTTACAAGATGCTATAGTTGAATTTCTTCCTAACATAATTCTAAACAATGCTGGGCGCATAGTAGGCCCTTAATAAATGTTTCTTGATTGATTAAATCAGTCAAAGGTCATGCAGCCATTAATTGGTGGAGCCAAGACTCGAACCCAGGAAACAATCTGTATCGTAGCCTCTTTCGTTATAGTAACCCCATGGAGGACAGATTGCCCTTTTTGTTAATCGTTATACTATCAACATCTGGTCACAGAGATTGCCATTGCCCCAACTAAAGACAACCAGATGTGATCAGGACTAGTGGCTGTTCTTCAGGACTTCCAAGCTATAGCTGAGTGAGAAAAGAAAAAGTGAAAGTCTGTTTGGAAAACCTGATATTACATTGGGAATGTACTATAATCTACCGTACACACATACACACACACACACACACACACACACACACACACACACACACATAAATTTACTGGATGGACTTCCAATCTTCCTCCCTCAGGTATTTTGTTTTAATCCCATTGGTTTTGTATCAGTATTATATCAGTACAGATAATCTTATTTATGTAGCACTTTGAGTTTTCAAAGTATTTCAAGTGATTAATCAATACGATATCTTATTATGATTTAGGTAGGGCCATAATAAAAGCTTCTTCTTTTCTTGGAAACTATGGTATAGTACAAGGACTCCCATTAGACTGTGAGCTAGAGAATCTTTTACCTTTGTTCACTTCCCCAGTGTTAAGCACAGTATCTGGAACAAAATAAGTACTTAATAATTGTTTATTGTGTGGTTGTGGTTGTGGTTTATCCTGCTTTCTAGAAGATGACCATGACATCAGGGATATGATGACAAGACTTGCAATTGAATTAGATTTGAGTGAGGGAGGGTGGTACAAAGTCACCAGCCTCACTTTCTTCTCCAGAGCTATCTGGGTCCATTGGCAGCATATCTATCAGGACCACTGGAGATGGCCCAGGATGCGGTGGGAGACCTTGGCCTTTCTAAGATGACGTCTTTTCAAGTTCTCACCTTGTGTGAGGCAACTCCATTCAATGTATAGGCCTCTTTAAAAAGTGAGCCTAGGGATGGCCCCTTTAATATTAAAATATATATATATATATAAATATATATATATACACATATATATATATATATATCGAACTGAGAGGGGAAGACCCTCGGGGTTGCTGGCCAAAAGAGAAACAGTTACTATTTACATTCATTATGAGCCCTGAGGATCCAAAAAAATAATTATTAGATGTTGCTTGGGCAAGACAGGGACCTATTGTTGTCCAATTGATGCCATTCAGAGTGAATTGGATTTAAGTCTTGGTCTTTGAGAAAAAAATCTAGCCAGTAAACCCAAAGTTAACTAGGTAGGTTTCAGCCATCCAAATTTACATTCCTTTGGGCAGAACACCCTTGGAGAGGGGAGGCTGGGTCCCCAGTAGGGCAGTTCACACTATTTAGGGGTTGTGATTTTTCCTATGTTCTGGAAGAGGACCATGACATAAGGGAGATGATGGTATGACTTGCAGTTGAATTTGATTTGAGGGAGGGAACTGTGCAAAGTCACCAGCCCTCACTTTCTCCTCCTGATGGTTTATTAAGAGATAGTGGAAAGAACACTGGCTTTTTAGTCAGAAGACCTGGGTTCAAATCCTAATGTGTCACCTGGGGCAAGTCGCTTCACTTTCCTGAGGTTCAGCGTCCTCATCTGTTGAATGACTGGATTGCGCTCCATAGCCTCTGAGATTCCTTCCAGACCTAGCTCTCTGAATTGAAGACATTTGACTTTGGTTTGAAATGTCATAGGTGACTTTTTAAAACAAATCATGTGTGTATGTTCAACTTTAAACCATCCTATTGATCATGACAAAAAGATATTAATTATCCTGATCAGCCACAAATAGGTTTGGTTTCACATTCCATTTTCCATTGTAAACTTATTAGAGCTTGTAGGATCCTAGTCTTTTGTTTATTAGATAGTAAGCAAAGGGATCTTTTGCAGCCTTTTAAACAAAGATTGGACAGCTAAGAGGCACAGTGGATAGATCGCAGGCCCTGGAGTCAGGAGGACCTAAGTTCAACTCTGTCCTTATACACTTATTAGCTGTGACCCTGGGCAACTCACTTAACCTACTTGCCTCAGTTTCCCCATCTTTAAAATGAAAAGGAAATGGCAAACCATTCCAGGATCTTTGCTAAGAAAACCCCAAAGGGGTCCCCAAGAGTTGGAAATGATTGACATGACTCAATAATTAGCAAAGACTGGCTTTTGTCTCTGTGCCTTAAGTACCTTGAAGGACAGACAGTTCATTGGGCAGCTATCCCCCAGACTTCTTTTGTTCTGATATTTTCCAATCTCCTTATTTCAAGCATGCGAGGAAAAAGAATATGACAAAAACTGCAGCAAAATAACTATACCTTTATCACAGATTGTGGCATTGCAAATACAATGCACTTTATGGTGGCTTTAAATATCAAAGCACTGCAATTGAGAGGGTATTGTATCCTGTTATATATATTTCCCTAGCCTTATTTTTTTAAATTTTTATGTCATAGGAAGGGTTTTGAATGCTCTAAATAACTGATACAGTAAATGGGACATCTTTTTAAAAATTATTGTAATAATTCCTTTTGCTTTTTCATCTCATTTGTTTCTGAATATATCCCTCCTTCCTCTAATACCTAGCAAGTTATGCCTTGGAAAAGACATTAAAAAATAAAGAAGAGAAAAAAGCACTTATGAATAACCAACACATCAGTAGTGTCTAATAGCGTATATACCATTCCACATCCATAATCCCTCACCTCTGCAGTAAAGAGAGAGAAGAACATTAAAAAAATTCTTCTCTGGAGCCAAGCGTGGGCACTATATTTACACGGATTTCAAGGTTTTTTGTTTTAGTTTGGGGGGAGGGTTAGTTATTTTTCGTTTATGTGGATACAGTTACTCACTGTATATATTGTTTTCTTGGTTCTGCTTATTCAGTTAATATGTCTTTCCTTACTTCTCTGAATTTTTTATAGACATCTTTCCATATGGCACACTACTATTCCATTCCATTCACATACCACAATTTGTTCTTCAATTACTGGGCATCTATTTTGTTTCTAATTCTTTGCCACCAAGGTAGCTATAAAGCAATACTAGGAATATTTTATTTCTGTCTTAGACCTGCCTCCTTTAGGTACATGCATAACAATGGAATCTCTGGATCAAAAAGTATATGGATATTTGGCTTACTCTTTTTGCATAATTTTTTTAGATTTTGTTTTTTGGCAGTTTTTTGGAGGCAGTTGGGGTTAAATGACTTGCCCAGGGTTGCACAGCTAGTAAATGGCTGAAGCCAAATTTAAACTCAGGTTCTCCACTCCAGGGCCTGTGCTCTTATCTATTGCACCATGTGGCTGCCCCTTTAGTATAATTTTAAAAACTTATTGATGTAGTTAGTTTTTATATCACCTTCAATTCCAAAAATTTTCATCTCCTTTCTTCTGCCCAGATATTCATCCCTTATTACAAAAAAAAAAAGAATAAAAGTAGTTCA